AGAAACTTGGCTTCATTCATTCATTCCAGATACAGCTGTTGAGCTGGAAGGCTACATAGCTCGCCAGCAGGACGGGAGTAGAGATTCTGGCAAGAGCAAAGGGGGAGGTTTAAGCCTTTATGTGACCAAAAGCTGGTGTATCAATACAGCCACTGCTCCATGGATCTGGAGTATATGACTCTTAAATATAGACCCATATATCTTCCACTGGAATTCAGCATGGTTTTGATCACTGCAGTCTATATCCCACCTGATGCCAATACTACCATAGCTTTGGGATTCTTGTATAACATGGTTAGTAATCAGCAGAATAAGTATCCCGATGGTGTGCATATCATAGCGGGGGACTTTAATCAAGCTGATTTAAAAGCAGTGCTCCCTAAATTCTATCACCATGTTAAATGTGCTACTAGAGGAGCAAACATCCTGGACAAAGTATATACCAACATAAGGTTATACAATTACCACATTTGGGACAATCAGAGCATACGTCACTGCTTTTAGCACCAGCATACATCCCTCTTAGGAGACAAGCTCTGCCTATAATAAAGACAGTGAAATCTTGACCAGAAAATGCTTCCCAACAATTTCAGGATTGTTTTGAGACATCTTTTACCACCCTGACCTAGAGGAGCACACTGCAACTGTTCTGTGCTATATCAAACACTGCACAGATACTATCATACTAAATGTATTAGGATCTATCCCAATCAGAAACACTGGATGACCAAGGAGGTCCAGTGCCTCTTGTGTGACAGGACCTGGGCCTTTAGGTCCAGTGATGGAGCAAGATACAGTGTTGCCAGAGCTAATCTGAAGAAAGGTATTCGGAAGGCCAAGACTGATTATAAGAGGAAGATTAAGGATAATTTTTATAACAATAACATGAGGCAGGTGTGGCGAGGGATTTAACAAATCACCAACCATCAACCAACCAATGTCATTCCTGCTGAGGAAGATGCTTCATTGGCAGAGGAACTGAATCACTTCTTTGCTCACTTTGAAGTGGAGAGACATCAGAGACAGCTAAAATACAACCGCCAGCCAATTGTAGCCCCCACCTCATTGTGGAGGAACAGGAGGTGAGGAGCATTCTGAGGGCTGTGGACCCTAGAAAGGCTGCCAGTCCTAACGGTATCTCTGGCTGAGTAAAGACTGTGCTGATCAGTTGGCTGGAGTCTTTACCAGGATCTTCAATTGGTCTTTATCCCAGTCCACTATTCCATCTTGTTTGAAGGCTTCCACCATTGTTCTGCTGCCAAAGAAGTTCCTATCAATAACCTCAAGGATTACAGACCAGTGGCACTCACTCCTATCATCATGAAGTGCTTTGAGAAATTGGTCTGCCGGCGCATCATTTCTGGTCTTCCGCATACATTTGATAAACACCAGCTTGCATACAGAAGAAATAGATCTACAGAGGATGCTATAGCCATCACTCTTCACACTGCTCTGACTCATCTAGAACAGCGGGGGGGGGGGGGGCTATGTGAGGATGCTTTTTGGGGATTTTAGTTCTGCGTTTACAACAATTCTGCCACATAGTGTCTAAACTTCTGGACTTTAGGCTAATTCAATCTGCCTTTGGATTATGGATTTCCTGTCTGGCCGCTCAGAGGGTCAGATTAGGTAATCATACCACTTCAACCCTTATTCTTAACACTGGTACACCACAGGGTTGCGTATTGAGTCCCTTACTCTATACTCTTTATGTGCATGACCGCATTCCCACTCACATTAGTAATACTATTGCTAAATTTGCAGATGATACAGCAGTGGTGGGACTTAATTCCGGGGGGAGGGGGAATTAGTCTGCCTACCAAGATGAGGTGGACCGGTTGCTTTCGTGGTGTGGAAACAATAACTTGGTCCTCAACACCAGACATCCAGCCCTTGCTTATCAATGGAGACTGAGTGGAGCAAGGGGCCAGTTTTAAGTTTCTGGGTGTTACCATAAAAGAGGACCTGACCTGGGGTGCTCACTGGTCAAAAGGGCCCAGCAGAGATTATAGTACCTGAGACTTCTCAGAAAACAACAACTGAATGAAAAACTGCTGGTGACCTTCTACCACTGCACTATAGAGAGTATCTTAACCTACTGCACCTCTGTATGGTTTGCCAATTGCACAGTGGCAGATAGGACAGCGCTCCAGAGGGTTGAAGTCATTGCCCAGAAGATCATTGGTTGCCTTCTCCCCTCTTTGGAAGCTCCTGCTGCCTTAAGTTCAAAACATTCTCAAAGATCCATCTCATCCTGGGCACCCATTTCTTGAACTATTACCATCTGGCAGACAGTACAGAAAAATAAAAACAAGGACAAATAGGCTGAAAAACAGCTTCTATCCCAGGACAGTAGCTCTGTTGAATTCTATTGTATAGTGCAGTGTTGGTGTGGTGTCCGGGTTTTCAATTCAATGTGTGGAGTGTGAAGGATGTGTGTTTGTGTTTATTTTCATGGTCATGATGTGCACTGAAGAGGGTGTTTGATTTCATTGAATGAGGTGCAATGACAATCAACTAAACTAAACCAAATTAAACTAAACACACCTGTTGGGGCTTGGTAGGCGCAGTGGAATGTGTATTTCAGCTTGTTCATTCAGTGTTCCATAACTGTTTGGTTCACTGTAGTCCTCTTCTGAAATGTACGCTGGACAAGCTACTTAGGCTTACTTCATTTTATATACTAAAATAAATAGCAGCTACTCAGGGGTGTGATTCTACCAGTTCTGACAGGTTCTATAGAACCAGTAGCTCTGAAGAGCAGCTGACACCAAATTGCTTTGCTCCAAAGATCTTTTCTTCAGTTGGGCCCACCCGTCTGCCTGGGCTCTAGGCTGTACTTTACTCCCTGCTAAAGCAACCTTAACTGCTTTGCACGGCACAGCAGAGTGCCGTGCGTCAGCAGGAAAAGATTATTCTTTGCAGGAGAAGTTGATTTATAAGAACTGCGCAAAGTGTGCGCATAACCAGTTGTTATGCTGGTAGGATCCCAGCCCTGCAGCTACTGTAGCTCTAAGCTGCTCCATTTGGCAATGCCACAACAAAGCCAGTAGTAGAGATGCCCATAGGATGTGGTTAAAAAAAATTAAGATGGCACACGATGGAGATAAAAACAAACGAACAGGTAAAGCTTCTTCAATTCTCCTTTTGTAGCAGCCATCTTGACTTCAACCCTGTGGATGCCCTGAGCCTGGAACCTATAGAAATAATAGGATCAGTCAGTCTGAGGAACGGTGGGAAGGAGCTCGGCCCCCATTGCTATCATTTCCAATAATTTCCCTTGATTTAGTAATACTAGATTGTCATGCAAAAGGAAACAATTACATACTTGGTTGTAAGAATCCTCCCTACCAAATTATTTTTCCATCTCCAGAGATTGAACAAAAATGTACATTAATAGTATGGAATTTCCTGATAGTGAAAAGAAACAGACAAAATACACATCATCTCGATGAGATGATTATCACAAACACAATTTTGATTTTTCTTTGTCAAGATAGTCGTTAATGGTACAGGAGTTCTAGCATTTTCTGGTCTAGGCAGGAAAAAAGGGGAGGGAAGGTAGTTGCAGGTGCTACAACCTGTCATATGGGCTGAATCATTTGGTTACTATAGAAACTCTGGTTGCTACGATGCGACTCTAAAGCCATTCTTGGTCTTCATGGGAGAACAGCTTGTTCCAACTTGATGCTTCACCATTGCTCATAGCTTCTTCTCCCAAAACGCATCTCCCACACGTTGAAATGTGAAACACGATTAAAAGGTTATTGACTGAACTGTTGTTCTATGAGTCTTTCAAGTTATTTGTAAAATAACCGCTAACATCTAAAATGCTTTCACTTTACAAAATATGAGCTTTTGTTTACTTGCAATACATAGCAAAAGCTTTCAAACCTAAAGGAATGAATTAATAATTTAATTACATAGATACGGTTCATGTTACATCAACTTGACAGTAATTTGTGTCAAAAAGGAAAACTGAAATAAAAGGCAATTATCAACCTGACTCATAATACACTTTTCCCCAAAAGAGACATTATTTCATTTTAAGGACAGGGAAAAAAAGGCATTGTAGAAATTTTGGACTTGAGATGAATCTATGAGGTTTTTCTCTTTAAAATAAACAGGCTGTATGGAAAACTAGCATTCCCACATATCCACATAGTGTGTATTGTTTTATTAAAATTGCAGAACAGGAAAGTGTCATTTTCTTCAATGACATTCACTGGCATGCAGTAAACTCTGGCTGTTTAGGTATAACCCAGGCTTAAAACCTGATGGGGAATCTGCTTGTAGAAAGCAGGATTCTCGCCCCTAATTTGTGGAGAATGACAGAGATGAGAGGGACAGAAAATGTGGGGCCTGATCTAGTCATCTTCCCAATACAATTCTAATTGTGTTGGGTACTGGAATACCCAAATACAGCTGAAGAAATTACACAAAGCAGCTTTTTCATAGGTAAAGACAAACATCAGAAGGTTCTTCAAAATATTATCTGAAGTTGCCACCACGTTCAAGAGCCAAGAAATTTTCCTAGTTGTTGCACTTCAATTAACATACAGTAGGACAGTTCGTTATGAGTTCCTTAAGAAGCTCCATTCATTTTTCAACAAGTAGGAAAAGAAAAAAAATAGATCTCTAGATGTCCCCATGATTCACACACCCCACACCATGCTCTTACCTATTTGAGCTGTAACATTGCCTTCCAATTTGCTAATGGCTTTCTGGTCTGAAAGTTTACAAGATGGGCAACCAAATTGAGAAAGAAGATAAAGAAGTCTATTGTGATCACACAACAGTAGATTTAGCCATAATCTACTGTTCCACATTCCTGAAAACTTACTTACATGATCTTAACAGGATTCTTCAATCAGTATAAGTTACATCGCAATCCTATACACACTTATTTGAGTGTTGTTGCCTTCTGTTTAACTTCTGCACAAGGCTGGGTTTCAAGAGATGGGAAGAGTCATTCCATATGTCACAACTGTTTTATTTTATTTTTTTCAGATAAATTCCAAACATATCCAGGTGGGCATTCGTGTATCCGATGATGATTCCAAGGCTTTTAACTAACTAGTTTTTTTAAAAAATCTCTGCTTGATTTTAAAAAAAGCAAGAAGTCATTTGGTTGGCTGTACAGTGACCTCGTCAGCTGGAATGTTCACACCCGCAGCCTCCCTATTCTTGCCTTGTTGCAAAGTAAAGACGGAAGGCCCCAGTCGCAGAATCATGCCGCTGCCCAGGCAGTCCTCTCCCTTGTAGAAAACAGCAAACTGGAAGACAGAAGAGCGACAATGTGTACTGCGTGAAGCGTGAGGTTGTCTACTGAGAAGAGGGCGGGGCGGAGGGGAGATTACCTGACTACCTAGCTTTTAAACATCCCATATAATGTAGAGAATGGGAGAGTGAATTCATTGCTTGTAGAATTATTACCATAATTATTAGGTGATCTTTCTTAGCGGTGTAAATACAACTAGCATCTAAGTAAATCATCGTTAAGATAATTCTTGCATTCAAACCGTTTTTTTTTTCCAGTTCACATGGTAAGGAGAGCTTCCCAATGAACTCTGAAGTAATGAATTAATTATAATAATCTAACAAACCAATCAAAGGTGAATCACAACAGGTTATATTCACACGTCTTATAACTAATGTGCTGAATTAAGGAATTCAGCGGAGTCTTTCCCTTTTCCCAGCTGCATTATTTCCTTTGTTAAAAATATGCACAATTTAAAGTTTCTCACAGTTTTAAGCAATCCGTGATTCAGAGGCTTCTTAATGCTGAGATTTTTTTTTTTTTTTCAAAGTGGGTAGAGCTCTTACATCCTACTCTTTTTCACCGACTCTGGGTTATTTACAGAATCTATTCCACAACGTCAACTTGCATGACAGGACTTGATAAAGCCTGCAGCTTAACAAGCCCTCTGAATGTTTTTTTTGCTAATTATGAAAGCTATCATTCTCCTCCTTCCATGAGAGTTGCTATTTTTTTGCTGCGTTAACTGTGGTGAGGAGGCCAAAATGGGCAGAGAAAGACTAGAGTTCCACTGTATTTAGCCAAGTAAAGATGTGTGATTTTCCCTCCAAAATTCTCCAAGAGCTTTCTCAAGTGTTTTCTCAATCTCAACAACTTGAGAAGATGGGTGGACTTCCAAGTCCCATAATTCTCTAGCCAGCTTCAGCTTCAGCTGGTTGGGGAATTTTGGGAGTTGAAATCCACCTATCTTAAAATGGCTGAGATTGAGAAACATTTCTAACCGAACGTTAGACTACTGAACCATCTTAACCAGGGGGAAAAAGTGGACCAGCTTATCCAGGATAAGTGCAAACGGAGCAGGCTTGCCCTCCCTCCACCTTTGCTGAGATCCACAGATCGTATTTGGTATTTTCTGCACATAAGAATGTATTCTACTACACTTCATTCAATATTATTAGCAACATGGAGAATAAATGAGGCCTCCTTGCAAGTAAATACCTATAGGGCTTCAAATATAGCTTAATTTCCCCCATTATTACCATGGCTAGCAGACAAATGCAATATAGATGCTTATAAAACCTTCCCCTCTGTGCTGAGAATCAAACAAAGCTCAAGGGGAAATTATTATGAATCACGCCAGCCGTGCTGGATCATGTTCAAGCATTCAGCTGTTAATAGCAACAGATAGAACCAAGATTCCCGCTGAGATTTTCTACTCACGCATAGGTAATTGTTTAATAAATCTACCAATAATATGTATGAACAAACTGCTTCTTTTGTCCAGTTATACCCGGGGTGTCAAACACAAGGCCCAGGGGCTGAATCCGGCCCACAATTGGTCAGATCCGGCCTGTGGGGCCGTCCTGGAAAATGTAAGGAACTGGCCCACGTTGCTTCAAGCCCGGTCTATCCAACGCGAAGAGGGAACATCGGGCCCGTGTGGCTTTGGCTTGGTCTACCCAGGGCAAAGAGGAAACTTGCCAGCAGTTTGGGGAGTGGCATCAAGCTGGCTGTGCCCACCCAGTTAGCCACGCCCCCCCGCCCCTCCCCCCAAGGTCAACCACAGTCCTGATGTGGCTCTCAATGAAATTGAATTTGACATCCCTGAATTATACAATGCGTGGACAAAATCTGTTCCATACTTTGCTATTCAATCTATCTGTTCAAAAGTGCAACTGAGTGTATTTCCTGGGAAATATGTCCTGGGATGATTAGAAAATTTAAGATAATCGCAGAGAAGAAGGCACAGCACATACCTGCCCTGCTGTAAGGTCCCTTATCGGCTTAGCCAGAGTCAGCCATACTGATCCATCTTGATTTAGGGTTAATGTACAAGGTACTACAAATTAAGAAAAAACCTGTTAAGTGATTGACTATTACAGATTTGATTTGATTGCCTGTCTAAATGACTTAGGCTGGCTCACATAATTAAACGATCAAACCACCAAAATAAAATACAGAATTCAATATTTAAACCTACCCGTTACAAACCCATAAAACTCAATTGAAGCCAGAAATTAAAACCTCAAAGCCTGTATTCTCATCTGATGCTATTTGTGATCTGAGCAAATAATGAATATGTTTCTTTTTATAAACATAAGCAATAAATATCCTATAAATATTCCTTCTATAAGTGCCCTATCTGTGCCATTTGTGCCGCCAAGATCTTTCCATGAACAAAGGCTAGTCACCTAGCGCCATCAAGTGTTGGAAGCGGAAATTACACTCCATCATTTTGTTCCGAATGAGTTCGGCAGGTGGTTCCTCAGCAATCCAGTGCACTCTGTTTGTCCGTAAAAGATCTCTATAAAGCGCAGGGTGATCCCTGCTGGGTGCCTTTGGAAGGATGCAAAAAATAATAATAATAATTTAATTTACAGCTCACCATCTCAGCACTACATATAGATAAAATTAGCAACAAGTAAAAGAAAATTGAAAGTTAAACTGGAAGGCAAAATAAAACTTGTGCTTTGAGAGTGGGGGTAAAAACTCAAACCATGAGGTCCTCTTTCTATTACAGGGATGATGACGGTGAATGCAATCTTTACTGCATTTGTTTTCAACAGCCTGGGAAGAACCTTCATTTTATTTGCTTTATAAAGGGGAGAAAATATCACAGGCGGGGTTGATGGAACACTGGGGCGGGCAAATGTAATAATATTATTTAACGTTGTCCAAAAGGCAATGCTAAACTTAACCTATAGTACAGTACCATATAGAACCAGCTGGCTGGGATTTCTATTTTTTCCTCTGCATTTTTTTTTCTTTATTTGAACCATCTTAAAACTATCTGAAAACTTTTATATGGGCTCCGCCTTCCAAAATGAGGGAAACAGTCTGCTAATTTTCAACAATCATGCTGTTAGCTGCTGCTAATGTGGTCGCAGGGGTCTCCAATAGCCATACAGGCCCCAGGGTGATGACCCCTCATGGATCATACCGTAAGTTATTGATACTAATAGGCTTATTCAGTTAAACTAGATCAGTATTTCTCAATCTTAGCAACTTTATGATACATGAACTTCAACTCTCACAATTCTGGGAATTGAAGTCCAAGCATCTAAAGTAGCCAAGATCACGAAACATTGCACTGTGTAATTGTTATGAAATGTTTTGTTTCCTGCAAAAAAAAACAGGAAAGTCTTGGTCCTAGAACTTAACCATGGTTTGTTTTAACCATAATTAGTCTAGCTAAAGCTACGGAAGTAATAGGAAGAAATTATGTTTTGCCTAGGTAGATATTAAACTTAACTGAGCACTAGATCTCCAAAATGTCATCCTTTGAAGGGCCAAGAAAGAACAATAGCACTGCCGCAAGAGTGGAGCCACTGTTTCAGAGGTGGGATTCAGCAAGTTCTGATCAGTTCTGGAGAACCGGTAGCGGAAATTTTGAGTAGTTCGGAGAACCGGTGGTAACCCTCCCCCACGAGTGGGGAGGGAATGGATATTTTACAGTATCCTTCCCTGCCATGCACATCAAGTCACGCCCACCAAGCCACACCCACCGAACTGGTAGTAAAAAATTTTGAATCCCACCACTGCACTGTTTCCCATATAAATTTAGGGATTTTATCCAGGCTTAAAGGAGCTTATTAAGTATAGGTAATACTCACCTAGCGACCTCAATTAGTAACGGCAACTCCACTGTTAAGCGAAGCAGTTACTAAGCGATACAGGACTACACCCACAATTTTACTTCAACCTTCCTTTGCCTTACAATCCTCATAAATGCAAGAATTGGACATAAAAGCTACTGTTTCATCACTGGTGTAATTGCAAAGTCACTAAATGATTGCAGTTGCTACATGAGGACTACTTAACAGAAAATAACAAAATAACAAGAGTTAGAAGGGACCTTGAAGGTATTCTAGCCCACCCTCCTGCTCACGCAGGGGACTCTATACCATTTCAGACAAGTGGCTGTCCAGTGTCGTCTTAGATACTTGTGTATCCATGGAAAGAGGGAAATACTGATGTAAGAGGCAGCAAGTGGACAGCTTCAACATGTCCATCAAAGTTCTGCTGCTTGCTCAGCCCTTCCCGGTGCTGAGGTCACATTGTGTGACTTTTGTAATGATACAGGGATCGAAATCTCACAGCTGCTTCCACCCTCACAAATGGGCGTCTGTTTCCCTTTGATAAGGGGAGAGAGAAGCAGAAGGACCCTAGCGCATGCGCTGTACAAGTCAGCCCTTCCAGCCGGCGACAGTGGCCATCACTAACAATAGAACAGGATGATGGTCGGACTTAAGATGAAATGAAACACTGAGGATGAAGGCGTTTGCTTGTTCCAAGGTGAAGCTAAACGGTCTGATCGCTTCTTTTGCTCCTGGCCATTTATTGCATTACTTTGTGCCAACCTCCTTTTCAATTTTCCGTTGATCAAAAGCTAGTTTGAACAGGATGTAATGAAACTTCTCGACACCTGGTTGACTAACAGCTATGGTTTTCCTTTTGTATGCAAAAGCCAAGAATCTTGGGCCAGTAATAACCACATTCTTTTTAGGCCGCAATCACAAACGGTCCAAATGCAAAGCAAACTTACCACAAAAACTTCCCCAGAGGAGATGTTTTTATCTACAACAAACCATGCATGACTGGAGTTTCTTAGCTTGGCTTTCTGGCCAAACGTATATAAGAAGCAACCTAAGAAAAGCAAAACACGTATTTTAAAATATAACCCACAAATATGTGGAAAACAAAGGGGAAAGAAAAAGATGAAGAATGTTTAGTCAAGAGGCAAAATGCAGCAAGGAACACATAACTACTGGATGTATGGTTGTCATTTAAACTCATTAACAGTCTAATCCTAACCAACGTTCCAATAGAGGGACAGGTCTTTGATGGCGCTGTTGCAACCCTTACCCTATAATCCCTTACCCTGTCATCCTATGGAATCCCTTTCCATAGGCAAACCAGCCTTCTCAAACCTCCCAGACCAAGCCCCGTAATTATTACCCCTCCTCTCTCCCTGAAAAAAACATTATTCTTCCCTTACAAGTCTGGTCTAATTTTCAGCACTAATAGATTCCTTTCTTAAGTATGTTTATGTTTAGCCTGCTTTACCGTTTATTTTTAAGGAGATTAAAGGATCCACATTTTGTTCACTTTATAAAATCCCACTTCTTTACACAGTGTCAACTAATAAAAACAGTAACCCAATGTTTAATAACTTGCCACCTAATTTGAAACTTTTGCGGCCAGATGTCTTTAACCAGAGGATATTGTAGGGGTTTGGGGTTCCGAGCTCATTAGAATCCATTGCCAGATAGCAAAAGCAATAGCACTTATACTTATATACCACTTCACAGGGCTTTACAGCCCTCTCTAAGCAGTTTACGGAGTCAGCCTATTGCCCCCAACAATCTGGGTCCTCATTTTACCCACCTCGGAAGGATGGAAAGCTGAGTCAACCTTGAGCCTGGTGGGAATTGAACTGCCAAATTGCTGGCAGCTGGCAATCAGCAGAGGTAAGCCTGCTGTACTGCATTCTACCCACTGTGCCATCATGGCTCATGGCGATGGGATAGTTTAAAGAAAACTAAAGGTGTACTGAGTTTTATGTTGCCAAAGTCGGGGGGGGGGAGGGAGCGGCAGGGGGTAAATATACAGATCTTTATATTTCACAACATTTAATAGGAACTGAATTAAAAAAAAAAAACACTTGCTCACCTTTATGTGTTCCAAGAACTTTGCCATCTTCAATGGAGACAAAGTTTCCAGGACGTGGTTGCAGATACTACGAGGGGGAAAAAAACATCCTCTCAATTTAAATCCCATTTAAAAGTAATACACATTGAAAGTAATAATAAAATAAAACATACACATGTTCATAAAAATTGTGAATCAGTAATTTCTCACCTCAAGAAGGAACTCTGAAAAATCCCTTTTGCCAACAAAACAGAGGCCCATGCTCTAAAATAAAACACAATTGATGGTCATCTTTTAGGGTTTTTTGAAAATTCAAATAACAGCTCTTTATATCTATCTATTCCCACTTACAAATCCACCTATTTAGAAGCATTAATAAACTTAAAGAAAATATACTGAACTTTAGAGGAAAAAATAAACAATATGAAATGCCGACAGCTCATACAAAAATATGTGTTCAGCAGAAGGCTATCCTACTTGGCTACAATGAAAGATAGAACTAATTCCTGACTTAGAAATGATCAAAACACTAAAATGGCACAATTGGTAATTTTATCCAGACACACGATCAGTCGAAAGAACAGCTTTTGGTCATTTCCAGATTGCAAAAACTAATGTTTTTCAAACTTGGGTGATTGTTGGATGGGGAATTTTTGGTGTAGTCCACACATCTTAATGGAAGAGTAGGTCTTCCTCATAGGGGCCAGCCTTCAGGGGGACACTATGAAGTATGAAGAGGGAAACGCACGTGCCAGATCGAGAAACACTGCTCCAAATTATAATGGTTTGTTCTTTTTCCCCTTATAACGATAGAGTCCTTTGAGTAGGAAATGTTACCATGCCTCTTTTTTTTTCAACACATGGTAAAGTTGATGTTCTGCAGCTATCTTCTTCACAAAGTCTTTTGTTAAGTCTCCAAGAGGAAAAATGGTTTTCTGCAAAGCTTCTTGAGGAATCTGGCTGAGGAAGAACGTTTGGTCTTTATTGTGATCAGCTCCCTGAAGAAGTCTGACAGCTGCAAGAGGAGGAGAGAAAAGACAGTAAGATAAAATAAGGCTGAATGCCTATATTCCTCTCTCTTTCACGTACTTTGTTTACAGGGTTACATTCTGAAAACTAGGCCTTCAGTCAAAATGAGAAAGATGAGAAATTAGTAGGGAAAGCTATTTCCTTGTTCAGGCACGTGGAAAAAAAGTCCCCATAATTATCTGTTCCTAACCTGGTCTTTCAGTGGTATACTCGCTGCCACTGTAACTGAGCCTATCTAATAAACCAGCGGTCGCCAACTGGTGGGCCGCAGCCCACCGGTGGGCCATGAGAAAATTTTGGTGGACCGCAGAGAAATCTCACCCCCACAAAGCAATTAATCCAGGCTGCGCAGAAAAGCAAGGCTGCGCCATCCACATGGCCCGCGGGAATCCTCCCTGCCCACTCACTCCTTACGGGTAAATTTGTCTGCTAAATTGCTATTTTTTCTTTTTCCGACCATCATCTGTTCTGCTGTGCTGGGATATTTAGATTAGCAGGAAATGGTTGGATTTCTTGCTTCCTAGCTAGTCTTTAGATCTTTGGCTCAGCACAGCCAAACCTCCCTTAGGACTGAAGGTTTGCTTGCAAGCAAATACAGTGCAGACTCACGGCAAGCAAATTTTAGAGACTGAGTTAGCTGATGGCAGATAGATAGATCACTGAATGATTCTGTGAGCACTTCAATCTGCCTGCTTTGCCTGATTTTGCATAAAAGTTGCTTTTTTATATATAAAAAATTCAATATTTACATACATGGTGTGTTGTGAGTTAATTTTATGAGTTTGCTTGCAAGCAAATTTTATGTGACAGACTGAGCTAGCCAATGGCAGATAGATAGATCTCTGAATGAATCTGTGATTCTGCGAGCAACTCAATCTGCCTGCCTGCTTTGCCTGATTTTGGGTAAAAGTTGCTCTTTTTTAAAAAAAAAACCCAATATTTATATAAATATTTATAATATTTACATACAAGCCATGCCCAGCCTGTCACATGACCACCAAACTACACCCACAAATTAGGCCACACCCACAGAACCAGTTAGGGGTCCCTGGGATCTAAAATTATGAGTTTGGTGGTCTCTGAGGTCCAAAAAGGTTGGCGACCCCTGTAATAAACTTCCTTCAGTCCTTCTATTTGGTGTCTAGAAAAGACTGAGCCCACGCTGAATTTTATCAGCTGTAATGTCCCCTTGCCTATCTCAATGTGTCATGCCCTTGTTAGAATCGGATTCTGAGAGAGAGGAGAGACAGCCGACAGGGAGTGGAGGTGTGGCTCTGGAGGTTGGGGAACAGCAGAGGCTGGCTGGGCAGTCAGAGGAACAACCAGAACTATCCTCTCTTCATCTTAGGACATGCAGGGAGGAACAAAAAGGCAACAACTTGGCTTGCGAGAGAGGAAACGGCCATGATCCCCCTCACTGGTTGCAGCTATAAGAGAGACAGTTAAAACACAGTGTTGCCAGAAGCAAAGCGTGTGTTATTTTGGGCTGAAGTTATCTTGGTTGGCGTCCCTCTAACAAACTGTGCCTTGTTATCTCCTTGATGTTGATAATTACTTATCCCGGTCCATTGTGGAATTTCCTTCATTGTAGTTTGTTTTAGTTTTTTATTTCACCTCTATCTGCTCATTAAGTTCGGACTGTATTGTTTACTTTTGAAGACTATTTTTGAATAAGTTTTATCCCCAACTGAGAATTACTGAACAGTGGGGCCAAGTTGGAGGCATTAAAGGACATTTATTTACGTTTTGGATTTTGTTACACTCCACCTATGGACCATGCTTCAGGGGGACACCATGAAGTATGAAGAGAGAAAGGCATGCGCAAAAAGAGGTAGTGGATTGAGAGAGGCCATTGACATCAATGAAAGGGAGGTTCAAACCCCTTATTACTGCAAAGGATGAGAAAAGATAGAACTGTAGATAGCAAAAGGGGGAAAAAAGCAAATGTATCTGTCTGTCTGTCTGTCTGTCTGTTGTGTGTCTGTCTCTCTGTCTCTGTCTCTCTCTCTCTAGTGACTATGCATTCATATCAAATTTGGTTTGATTCTTTAAATCACAGAAAATGGTAACATGGCAGAAAACCATAAAAGAAGCCAATATACTATGCAATTAATTCTATATGCCAAGAGTAACAAATAAGAAATGTGATTTTGTTTCAAGTAATATTCAATAAAAAGGCTCTTGATATGGTATCTTTGATATGATGATGATAATATATTATATGATACTTTGATATGAAATAATACTACTTTAAGTCCAATGCAGCAGCTTTTCTAGTTTTCTTTCTGCAAAAATGTAACATCAATTAGCTGTTCTTCATCTTGTTTTCTCATTTTAATCTGTATTCTAAGACTTTTGCAGACAAGGTGACTATTACTAACCATTCATTTCATTGTATTAATTGATGCTACTCAAAGGTGTTTTTTTTTAAAGAGGCAACTGGACTTTCTTGTTTTTCTTTGAAGAAAAAGTTTTTCTTCTCATCGAAGGAGCTTCTTCAGCTCTGACTGGACGGTGGGGAATGGGAGGATTTATATTCCTTGCAGGCAGCAGTCATTTGCATCCTTTTAGAGGGTCATTGAGGCGGAGATTTGTATGTGTCCTCAGGGTCACCTGCGTAGTGCAAATGGGTGTGGAGCCTTCTTGGCTGCAGGATATTTTCTGCCCTGTGTCCCTTCACTGTTGAAGACAGGCGCAGGCCGTTGGGGATGAGTCTGTGGAGTCTGTGTTGTCTGCATCTCAAACTGACGCGCAAATGGTTCCTATAATCTGCCATTTTTCTGGAAATCCATTTGAAGCTTCTAGTATTTGAAGTGAAACGTCTTCAAACCAAAACAAGACAATCCAGTTGCCTCCTGAAAAAGCACCTTTGGGACAACCATGACCTGGATGACTGAGCATTGATGCTACATATCTAATCTGGATTTAAAGAATGGAGCACTTACTGTTTCTTATTTCAAATCTATTTCTGAAAAGTCCTGATGATTTTTGTTTGTACTTTTGTTGAAAAACTTCATTATCTTCCAAGGAGGTCCTTGCATAGTGTCCAGTTGCTATTGCATCAGCTCCTGGTATAGTTTTATAAAAAAATAAAGGGAAATTGGATGCTTTTATTTTAGCAAGACTTTTAACATATTTCACAACTTTTGATTTTTATGATATTCCTCATTTTATACTGTATCACTTTGGTCAGGAGGAAACTTCACTGAATTCAGTAATACTTTCTCAGAATACAGAAATGTAAGACTGCACCTTCAATTAAGACAAAGATTGATCTGAAAAGCCAGATCGTGATAGGCTATAAAAAGATTGCATGCAAAATTGGGACTGATTTTCAGATTTATTCTAGATCTTCATTTTTCATTTTGAAAATAGAACTTACCAATGTTATTCATAGCATAGTGTAGGAAATAATTGAATTTGATGTTTTTATTACATATAATATCAGGATTAGGTGTCCGTCCAACTTCATATTCATTTAAAAGGTAGCTGTAGGTAAGAAAAAAGAAACATTTGAATGAGTTTTGGGAAATGCAGTGGCATATTTACTGTTCCATCAAGAATCCCAATTATTTTACATAAAGCTAAACACCTGAATCATTTCAAATTCATCAGAATAAGCTGATCAAAATTGAGAAATCTCTTTGTTTTGACCAGATTGTACTGAAGTTGTTTCAGTTTGTAATTAAGCACCTTATTTTAATCATTTAAAGATGACACGGCTGAAAAAAGGGATTGGTTTATAGCAGTGTTTTTTCAAATGACCCTGGGATGCTGCAACCATCACAAATATATGCAGTTCCATGTGCCCAAATTTTAATCATGTGACTAAGTGGATGCTGTCATAAGTGTGAGGACCGGGTATAATTTTTTTTCAGTGCTGTTTTAACTTCAAACCGCTACTAAATGAATGGTTGTAAGTCAAGGACCACCTGTATACCATAAATAGGAAATGGTGAATAACTTCCATATTACCCCCAGGAAAACCATGTGCCAGTATTGTAGTCATCAGAAGTTAAATTCAACTCAAGAAAGTCTGCATCACAGCTTATCACTTGCAGCTTCTCAAATAAGCTTCCTTCTGGGCCATGGTGGATTGTTTTTGCTTCCAGAGGCAAAGGAGTTTTATTAGACTTCAGAATGTTCTAAAATTGGGCCGTTTTTCATGTACACCAGGGGTCTTCAAACTTGACAGCTTTAAGACTTGTGGACTTCAACTCCCAGAATTCCTCCTCCAGTCATGTTAGCTCAGGAATTCTGGGAGTCCACAAGTCTGAAACTTGCCAAGTTTGAAGGCCCTTGATATACACTTTCATAACCAAAGCATAGAGCATTGATGCTTTGCTAGATTATAAACAGCAGCAGAGGAGAGAAGAACTAGTCAAGGAAGCGTGCAAAGCCTCCATAGGAAACCCATTCTCTTTGTTTCTCTTGCTAATCTTCCCAGCTTTCACAAAGCTTTCTTTCAGCAAAAGATTTATGAAAATTCTCTTACCTAAACACTTCATTCCAATATTCTTTAACATAGGAAACTTGGCGAAATGGAATATTGAGTATCTGACACACTTTATAAGCATCTTCACAATCTTGATTGCCTTGACAAATTCCCTTTTCATCCACCAAATCCCAGTTGTTCATGAACACCCCAGTCACATCATATCCTGCTCAAATGGGGAAAGTAAAGAAATGAGAAATATAAAGGACAATACCGTACATGAAAAATGAACATACTGTGGATATCCTTACAAATAATGTTAAATCTTTCACTTTTAAAAAGTGTTTGAATCATCTATGGCAAAAACTCGTATCTCCTATACTTTATCCAATTTTGGATAACTCTTACTGTGTTATTATAAAATATACTATTCCCAGAATAGTAAAGCGTCACCATGACAAGTAGAAAATTTTCATTCTAGCTAGATGTGTCAAAATACGTAGGCACTAATGGACTCAATATTCATCTCTGGTCACAGACTGCCCATGAAAACATCGATTAGCTCATGTTTAGTTTTGTTATTAAAATATAAAATAGAGAATTAAATAAGATATTAGCAAAAATATCCTTCAAAGTCTGAGTGTAGGTCTCACTCAGTATCTGTCTGCAACTCTTTTAAACCAAAAGCATCTTTTCCCCAGGATTATACTACATAGAATAGCTGAGATATTTTAAGAATGGTTTAATTTTATTTACACGTTTGAAAATAATAAATGCTTAAAAATAGCTGCATGCTCAGCAGCACTTCGTGTGCGAAACTGATTCCTGAAAACCATACCCAACGCTGGAAATATTTAAAATGATTCATTCATGTAAATATCATTTTAATGATTTTTTTTTTAAAAAAACTAACTGTTCACTTAAAGAATATCATTGAGAAAGTTTGCTCACTTAAAAAACAGTACTGCTAGGTCATTAGCATGAAACAAAATTCACATAACCCCAACTTTTCAGGGTTCCCTACAGAAAACCCCTTCTAAAACCAAAAGAAGATAAGACTTAAAATTGCAAACTGAAGTATATATATATATGGGAGTATACCCCTACTGGCACACATATGAAACACAGAATAACAAGTCAGAAAAACATATTATAGATGCCTTTTTGTATTTCTTGTCTTTCTTCTACAGTATAAACAAATCCTTTCTCCACTTTTTCCCCTCACAACAGCCACTCTAGAGACAAGATAAGCTGAGAAAAAAGGGTTGGTTTATAGCAATGTTTCAAACTTGGCAATTTTTTAAGATGTGTGGATTTCAACTCCCAGAATTCATCAGCCAATATGCTGGGGCAATTCTGGGAGTTTAAGTACAAGCATCTTGAAGCTGACAAGACTGAAACAACACTGCTCTAGGATCTAGATCCGTGATGGCGAATCTGTGACACGCAGATATCATTTCTGCCGGCACGCAAGCCGTTGCCCGGAACTGATCCACTGCGCATGCGCCCTCCCACCAGCCGTCGTGTATCTGCTCTGCATGTGCGGGGGGAAGCACGCACACATGCGCAGTAGGGTGGGGCGCGGGAGGGTCACGCACGCATTACATTATGGGTGCAGGCATGCACTTTCAGCACGCAACAATGGAAAGGTTAGCCACCACTGATCTAGGTTGTGCCCACTGAATGCCCAAGGAGCAAGCCAATCTTTAAGAATCGGGCATCATTTACAGATGACAAGCTATATGGAGGTCCTAGATGACCTTGGTTGATCTGCAAAAGCTAAGCAGGCTCAGACAGACTAAATGTTTGGATGGAAGACTACTAGGAGAGTCTAGGGTTGCAGGAAGGGCCGAGAAGCTTAAAATGTGCTATGAAAGAAGACCAGGACAAAGTATTTCGAATATAGGTAGTCCTCAACTTACAACAGTTTGTTTAGTGACCTTTCAAAGTTACAATGGCAATGAAAACAGTGACTTGTTATGGTTTTTTACTCTTATGACCCTTGCGGCATCCCTATGATCACATGATCAAAATTTGGACACTTGGCAACTGACTCATATTTATGACGGTTGCAGTGTCCCGGAGGTCATGTGATCCCTTTTGTGACCTTCTGATAAGCAAAGTCAACAGAAGCCAGATTCACTTAACAACCATGTTACTAACTTAACTGCGGCAATTCACTTAACAACAACTGTGACAAGAAAGGTTGTACAATGGGGCAGAACTCAGTTAACACATCTCACTTAGTGACAGAAATTTTGGGCTGGATTGTAGGTCGTATGTTTTAGTCTCCAGTCCCCTCATCCTCCTATGTATGTATGTATGGTGGCCAATAGACTGATTATGTTGAAAAGACATTTTGACATGAATCAAGTCAATAACCTTTGCTCTTTGCATCTGTTAAAAGAATTTGCTTGTACGGTTTTGCTAAGGAAAATGGAAATCACTTGTTAGGAATTCACTCTGTAAGAGAATTGTATCCTTTTCTAGCTTCAGAGCTAGACGCATCCTTGGAGACAATTCCCAGGAACATCCTGCTCCATAGGTAAGGGGGGAGGGCTGCTCAGGAGCACGAACACACAAGGGATACTGACTGTGTAAAATGACAAAGTATAGACAGAGCACGGGCAAAGAATGCTCCATGGATAAGGAAGGGCGAGGCATTGCCCGCATTAATAACAAACCTTTGTCTCTGATTGGATAAACTTTGTTTCTATCAGCGTAAAATGTATATAAAACCCTGACCCTGACCCTATGGCTGTTGTTGCTACAGCCTCCAGGAATCCGACCCAAAAGGAGCGTTTTAACCCCGCAGAGCAACCCCTTCCCTCAGGTCTTCGCCCACCTGATGCTAACTACGACCCCTCTCAAAGGCCCTTCGCAAGGGGAATGCCGGGAGTTGTAGTTTCCATATACCGGAACGGAAGTTCTGCTGAGGGAAAGAATATATATAATATATAATATTATATTATATAATAACATATATATACATTGAAAGTAATAATAAATAATATTATAATAATAATATATGGGGCCAGCTGCTCTCGCCCCCGTTCTCCGCCGGGGAAGCCTCACCTCTTCGCCTCAGCAGCAGAGCCGCCACGGCGCTGTCCACCCCGCCCGACATGGCGCACACCACGTGCCGACGAGCGGCCCCCATCATGGTCCGGCCGCTTCGCTAAGTGCTCAGGGCCGGCCGCGCTTCCTTTTCCCGACCGCGGCCCACCGTGACCTGAAGGGCAGAGAGGCAGGACAGGAGGGCCGTCTGTGGGCGGAGCTGAGCTCACAAAAGGCCGGGGGAGAACGGCCTTCTCCTCGGCTCTCCCACGGGAGGAGGGCCGCTTTTACGGCGGGGAAGTCCCGACCATGGGAGGGGTTTACCTGTCTTTTTTATCTTTGGGTCGTATAGGCCGGGGATGGTGGAAGCTGAAAGTCCTGCCTTTTCGATTCACCCCACTAGGCGGATGACACCCGTGTGTACGTGCACGTGTGCGCACCTACGAGTCAGGGTCGATTCCTGGCGGCTGCCTGAACGAGCCCCTGCAGTTTTCTTAGGAAGTTTTTGAACGATTATTGTTATTATTTATTTTGCCATTGATTGCTTTTGGGGTCTGAGGAAGGGACTGGCTCTCCCGGTTTTTAACCCGCTGTACTAGTCTGGGCTGGTGCAGATTCGCCAAACCTGTTTTGGGATCGTTCATTTTGAATAGGTTGCTGTTGTTTTGCAATTATGAAGTTTAATAACTTCAGAAGTTGCGTATCACTGGAGGTTTTAAGAGACTGGACAGCCACTTGTCTGAACTGGTAGGGTCTCATGCTTGAGTAGGGGGCTGGACTAGAAGACCTCCAAGGTCCCTTCCAGCTCTATGCCATTCCATTCTCACTCCTTCCATTCCATTATATTCTATTTTACAACAAGGCAAGTTTCAGACTTTTATAAACCATTCCTGAAACCATTGTTTTTCATACTTGGCAAGTGGAAGATGTGAGGACTTCAACTCCCAGAATTTCCTGATCAGCATGTAGGAATTCAAGTCTACACATCTTCAAGTTGCCAAGTTTGAAACAAACACTAAACAAAGAGGTACTTTTTTTATTCTTAAGACTATACTATCTTCTGTTAGTTGATATGATTCCCACATTATTCCTGGGTAACCATCTTAAGGAACTTATGCAAGGACAGGTCACCTGATCTTTCTTAAAATAAGCGATACATGCTAGATAAGAATTAAGACTATTCCCCGTTTGCAGTTAGCCTTAATGTAAATGTGCTGTGTGTCCTTTTCTTCTCTTACCTAATGATTTTTCGATCCTTTCATCAGGAGTGGGTTCAGCCTGGTGCTTTATAACTACTTAAAGTTGGTGCAGGTGTGATGTAGGGTCCCTGTCCTCTATAGCCACTCTCACCTGGGCATCAAGAGTCCCCATTTTTCCTGCTAGCCCTTTCCACTGTGCCCAACACATTTCCAAGTCAGTTCCTGGGTCAAGGTGTTTTAATGTATCCCTATGAAAGAGTGATGGGAGGCCATGCAGTGAAATGGGAAATCTTACTTTGCTGGGCAGCTACCCTGATTCACTTGATAGGTGTGGGAGAGCAGCATAACAGTCTAAACTGCTAGAAAATGACCGTTCTCCTGCATCCAAAGCTATGTTTGATTTGTCAGAGAGCAGATCTTCAGATGATCCCATACTATTTGAATAAATCCTATTGGAAGAACTAGGCAATCCCCCCCCCCCCTTCCCATGAAGACTGGAGAATTTGGAGAGGAAGGGATCGCAAGAGAGTTGAGAATACATTGACAATACAGTTGAGAAAGGAATGCATTGATTCCGGAGCTGAGAGCCACAAGGACACAGGCAAACAGGCAGTATATTTCCTATTGTGTGCTTGCTTGCTGTTTTGTAATCTCTTTCTGACCAATTTCTCTGCTCTTGTGGGGAGAGAAAAATGGGTCAAGCACAGCAGAGGTTGCCTATCAAAATTGCTTTTAAAAAAAAAATCCCTTCAAAAAGCAGAGAAATGACGAAACAATACGGTAGTATTTTATATTATCATTTATTTTTGATGATGAAAACAAAATATGCAATTCCTATTTTATATGTTATAGGACAAAACTTCCATCTACATCTGAGCTGTTGCAATAAGATAAAGAAATGTGATAATGTTTTGTTTTTTACAACTTTTTATTATTCTATAAGGGATTCCATGAGGCAAACATGAATTGCTTTGACAAGCCACATAGAAATGAAAGGTTTGAGTCTAACATCCAGTTAGGAGCAGTTAGTTGCTGCAAAGTACAATTTTTAGCCAGAAAGGTGAATATCATCTAAAAAAACTGAACCACGATGGAAAGTAGTTTGGGACAGTGTACTGTAGTTTTGTATTGAATTATTCAAATTAATAAAATAACATTTTGGAGAACTCATTCCTTTTTGCACACTTGGTTGTTGAGTATAAAGGAAAAGTCAGACACGCATTCTGTCCTGCCATAAATAGAAGTTCTGCATTTTAAAAAAACTGCCATTCTTATAGAGATTGAATTGTGATTGTCTTCAGAGAATATTTTGCAATAATTCTGAAAGTATTTAATCAACATTTAAAATGCTAAAACTTTATTTCAATATATTTGACATACATCTACAATTTGCACAATTTTGCAACAAATATTTTTTATCAGGAAAGACATTTGCTATACCCAGAATTGCTTACAATATTTAAAAAAAACCATCTTTTCTATTTTTCCTAGCAGCAATATATCAATATTTCAAGTTCACAATTTTAATTAGTTGCTAAACTCTAGATTTTTTTTCCAGTTTGAATACCATTTTTTAAAAAAATCAGAATTTCAGAAGAGGTGAATTTTCTTTATTTCCTTCAGGACTTAGTTTGATCAAAGGAGAGCTCAGATCTATTAGCTAAAAGTAGAAAATATATTATTAAAACATTGACTAAACACAGGTTTTACATTCTTGGAAATATAAAGAACCCAATTTGTTAGCAAATCTACATTAACAATGCAGTTTTGATTACAACCAATTGTACCCAATTCAAATATTAATTTTGCAATAGCTTACTTAGTGCCAGCTTTTGGCAGAATTTTGAGGTTAAATTTTCTAATATTACATGCAGTATATAATAACATTAGTTACTGGACAAAGCTTCAGAGATAAAGTTGACTGCCTCTAAATGTAACATACCTGCAATTAAACTTTTTATCATCAACCCACACTTAACAAACAGTATTAAGAGTGAGATAAAAATAACCTTACCTGCCCTGTAGGTTTCAATGGAGAGGCTTTAGTTATTTCAGGAGTGTTAAAAAGATCAATGAGAGGTTTGTTTTCACATTCCTGGATGGCAACTGGTGTTTTATCTGTTTCAAATTCTATCAACAAGTCCTATAAAAAGTGTTTTAAGTGTTCCAATATCATACTCTCAAAAATTCAGAGTGTCAGGTTACATAACATCTATTCCCACCTCCCAAAATACAATACCTAAATCTTGGATATTCTGCTGCTCCAAACAACCTTTAATTTCAATGCTTGTGTGATCTAATTCAAATTTTTTAATGAGTCATCAGTGTAAATTAAGTTTCCCACCCACCTTTCCTAAAAAGGGTCTCTTAACAAGAATATTTATGTCAAAGTATTGATAGAAGGCACTGATGGACTATTAATATAACCAACATTTGAAATAATTGCATTTAAAATCTTTTCAAGAGATATGGATCTGCAAAGCACATTTAAAAGCCAAAAAAAAGCCTTCATTATTGAAATACTTCATAAAAACCTTCCTAGTGTAAAATATTACCATGACAAGTACACCAAGAGGTGATAGCATCTTTCAAATTCTTTTGAACACAAGCAGCAGTTAAAAAACTAATTTTACTATAATACATGGTTTGTATCTTGATGTGGCAGATAAAACGCAACTTACCTCCTTAGCTGGTATTACTTCTGCTGTTTCCCCCTTTTTAGTAATGTCTTGTTCTATTTTGATAAAAGCTTTATCTGGTGAAAAAGCCAGTGCGATAGGTATAATTTTTGGTGGAGAGAAGTCTCCTTCTGTTGAAGACAGGCTTGAAGACATCCATGTCTTGTTCTTAGTCACACATTTAGAACTAGGTAGAAACAGCAAAAAAGCCATTTTTATGCAGAATTCCAACCCTGGAATCATTTATTTCTATTCAGTATTTGCAATTGTTTCTTTACCCCAGTCCCACAGGAAAACAAAATTACATGAGAAATGGACTGTCCTTAAAACTTACAGTAGAATAAATAGTGTATTTTTCGGAGTATAAGACGCTCCAAAGTATAAGACGCACCTAGCTTTAGGGAAGGAAATCAAGGGACGGGGGGGGGGGGGGGGGGGAATCTGCCTCTGCCTCCCTGTAATTAGCCTCCTCGCAGCAAACAGCAGGTCAACTTCAACAGTCTGATTAGCACAAGTAGCTGGTTGTCGATTGGATCACCCTCCTGATGATCAGATGTTTCAGGCTACAGGGATTGCCATTGCCGCCTCTGCGATCCCCATTTTTGCTTCCACATCCCATTTTTGGCCTTTGCGCGTCCCGTTTTCAGGCTCCGTGAGCCCCATTTTCCGCCCATTCCAATAGGCCAGGGGCCTGCAACCTTAAACACTCAAAGAGCCGGACTCCAGTTTGAACTTCTTTGGCGACAGACCGAAACCGCGTCTCTGCGCAGTTTCAATCTGTGCTCGCCGCTGGAGCGCCCCGAGCCGGCTGTTTTCGGGGCTAAGCCACCCCGTAGAGGTGGTGAAGAAGGGGGAGACTGCCTGCAGGGTTGAGGAGAGCCGCATCTCTCCTTCCCAGCTGGCCATTACTCCCTTTCCTGAAGGTCATTGTAGCAGTGGTCAGAAATGGCCACCACAAAGAAGAACTCGACTGGAAAATAATTTGCAGGAGGAAGATAAAAAGAGAAAGTTTTGGTTGACCGGGTCAAACAGCAAAAGCAACAAATAAGGTACCCTGGAATTGAAACTATTAAAAAACAATAACATTGTTCCCTAAGATTTTTAAACTGCGAAGGAGAGAGAAAAGGGAAAGGATTTGTTTGTTTTTTCTCCTCTTCCTATACTGACAGCTAAGTGACTTAAGCAAGAAATTGGAAAAAAAATCCACTTTGACATTAATAGGCATTTAATGCTGAAAATAAAAAGTCAAAGGGATAATAAATATTTCTGAATAATTAAAAGCTTTTGAAAACAGGAAAGGAGAGAGAAATAAATATAAAATCAGAAAGTAACGGAAGAGGGAAATGCAGAAGAGAGAATTAGAAGTAGAG